TTCAATATCTTCATCAATAATTTAGATATTGGCGTAGAGAGTATGCTTATTAAGTCTGCAGATGATAGGAAGTGGGGAGATGTTGCAACTGCTTTGGAGGAAAGGGTCATAATTCAAAATGATCTGGAGAAATGGTCTGAGGTAAATAGGATGAAGTTTAATAAGGACAAATGCAAAGTATTCCACTTAGGAAGGAAAAATCCATTTCACACATACAAAATGGGAAGCAACTGTCTAGAAAGGAGTACTGCAGAAAGTGATCTAGAGATCATAATGGACCACAAACTAAATATGGGTATGTCTACACTGCAGCGCTATTTCGAAATAACTTATTTTGAATTAGTTAATTTGAAATAAGCTAAATCGACATGACACATCTAGACACAAAAATTAATTTGAAATAGCCTTTTTCTAATTCAAAATAGCATGTCCACATTGAGTGGACCCTGAATTGAAGGTAAGGCTGTCTGGAACAAGTGCCAGAAGGGCATCAGGGTCAGACTTAGTGTGTGGGGCTGCTGCCTCAGGGACCTGTGCTTAAAGGGACCTGACACCCCCCTCCCGGACAGACAGTTCTCAGGTTTCTCTGCTTGCTGGTCCACCTCGCTGAGGGACAGCAAAGCATTTGTGTCTCGGAGTGCTCTGCTTGCCCTCACTCCGGACATCACAGCACTCTGCACCATGGAACCAGACCTGCCCCAGGGACTCTGCTGCGTTTCGTGGACACGTTGCCAGCAGCCTGGCTGTACTCTCTGCAGGCTGCCATCTGGGAGGACCATTGAGTGGCTGTCAGGATCCAGGGGGCCCTACAGGAGAGCTTCCACCCTGAGCAGCGCTAACAGTCTCCCTGCTCTGCCCCACTGGGGGCTTGTGCCCCATTCCTCCCTCTCGTCCTTCCACTTACCCTCTCTATCCCCCCTTCCTGATGTCAAATAAAAGACACGTATTTTCAAATATATAACCTGTCTTTATTTAACACGACTGGGGAGAGGGAATGAAACTCTGGGGAGACGGGGGAAAGGAGGCGGGAGAGGGCAGGAGAGAGGATGGGAGAGGGGAGGGGGAAAACTGGGAGGAGGGAGCTGAAAGGGGGAAGCAAAGGGAAGAAGGGGGAGGGGAACTCAGGGCTCAGGGCTGCGGGTCTCACCAGGCCAACCACCGCCCAGCACGGTGGGGGAGGGGGCCTCAGCATCCCGGGGGGATGAGGAGGAGGGTGTGGATATTAAAGAGGAAGAAGAGGGGGCAGGAGTGGAAGGAGGAAAAGTAGTGGGGGGGACAGCAGGAGCAGGACTGGCACAGGGCACCATGCTCTGCAGCAAGGCCTGCAGGTTAGAGTTCATGGCTTGGTCCTCAGCAAGCTGCTCCTGGCAGAGCTGCAGGTCCTCCAGCATCCAGGCCTGGATGGTGCAGTGCAGGGCTTGCAGGGCCCCCAGGTGCTGGTCCAGATCCTCCTGCCACATGCTGGTGGTCTGGAGCAGGCCGCAGGTGTGGGAGCATGTCCTGGGCGAGGTGGTGCGCCCTGCACAAGCAGCTGGTGCAGCTGTAGAGAAAGAAGAGAAGTGGTCAGTTCTCCCTGGGGACACAGTGGATGATACCCAGCCCCCTCGTGACGTGAGGGCAAGCTTGCCCTGCACCATCAGAGCTGCTGTGCTTGCACAGAGACCATGGTCAGGATGTGTGGGCTCTCCCCGGGACTGGAAGCTGCTCAAGACCTCACCCATGCCCCTGTGCTGTGTGTAGTGTGTCCGTGGAGGGGGCGGGGAGATGTCCCCTGCCTCTGTGTAGAGAGGCGTGTGAAGGGAGAGCGTCCTGCTGGGTCCCGCCCTGGGGTCGGGAGCATGTCAGGTCTCTTTACACACGCATGTGCATATTGGGCCACGGCCCCTAGGTGTCATGCAGCTGGAGTCACCTGCCCAATGGTGGCATGGCATGTGCTCATACATGCACAGGTGGTGCGTGATCCATGGGAGACATGGCCCACGCGCTTGTTCCCTGGTCTCCCTCTCTGCCTCCCCCCCCCCCCCCCACTCAACATACCCAACCCCTCTGTCCTCCTCTTGCACCCATACCTCCTCCCAGATCTGGCACTCCGATCTCCTGCCCCAGATCACAATCCATTTCTACCCTAGGTCACATCCCAAACCCCTACACTCCAGTCTCCTGCCCTAGCTCACAACCGCCTCCTTCATCCCAACTCCCTCCCACACCCCAGTCCACCCCCCAGCAATCAGTCAAGGGCGGGGAAGTTGGGGCAGGTATCAGCCCCTGCTGCAGCACCGCCCCAGGCGCCCTGGTGTACGCCTGCCGCAGCTCCTTAACCTTCAGGTGCACCTGCTTT